AGGACGAGGAAGGAGGAGAGAGAGAGAGAGAGAGAGAGAGAGAGAGAGAGAGAGAGAGAGAGAGAGAGAGAGAGAGAGAGAGAGAGAGAGAAGAAGGGGGGGGGAGGGGAAAGGGGGTAGCGGAGACGCTGCCCTGTCCACGAAGTGACTTTGACACATGCTGCTACGTTTCTTTTTTGTATTATGTTTTCCAGGGAATCCTCCAAGACGCTTTGGCATGCCCAGCGTTACAGCTCATATCAAACACTACTTCAGAGACCTGCTGAAAACAGTGGCAGTCTTACAATTGCACACGACTTACCTCAACTACTCTGAGCAACTTTGACTCACAGTGTCTTGCCCCACCGAGCTGGGACTTACACACACACGCACACATACAGTTTTTTTAGTGGCTGGCTTTATCGTTAACCGATGAAAAAGAAAAGCAAAGTGGAAAGAATTTCTCCAAGTGTGAAGAATTGGGTATTTTCTGACATCTGAAAGAGAATATTTCTTACGCACCAAGAGAGAGATGTGCTGACAAGGTATTAGGTGTGAAAGTTTTCCGGACAGAACAGGCCAGTCGCTATGCAACTGCACTCAGGCCACCACACCCCTCATGCAACTTCCTTTTATTTGCAAAATTTCCACGTTTTTTTGCGGGCGGAGCCGCAACAGGTAAGCTAGTTATTATCATTCCAATTAAGGAAGTGTCCGCACCTGCAAGGTCGACGAAGGAGACCTTTCCACGCTTGCAAAGGCATTGGCCATCTGGTTGAATGTGGGAGGATTGGATGTGTATGGTCATCATGCTGTGGCTCCTGCTGCTGTCCTTGTTGAGCTCATGAGACCCAACCTGCCAAGAATATCACTTTCATTTCATTGTTATTAGTTGCACAGCTTCACCCGCCAGAAAAAGGAAATGGTTTAGAAAGGTTGTTTGTGCTGCATTGGGATTCTTTTGAGGGATATTGCTGCAAATCATCTTTCCTGAAAAAGCCACCAGAAAAAGAGCCTGTAAGCCTAGCATACCTTCAGGAGCTAAGTATAAACAGCAGCCCTCCCCCTCACCCACTTCCATACCACGCAAGGTCCACCAAACAATTATTTGCAAAGGGAAAAGGGTCAGCAAACTCGGAGGCAGGTCTCAAGGGGAATAAGTCCTAGACATGTGTCCAGTCTGTGAAATTCAAGCGAGACCTTCTCCCCTTCAACAAACACACACACACACACACACACACACACACACACACACACACACACACACACACACATACACACACACACACACACAAAGCCCCTTCTATTCTGGGGGCAGCAGTCCCGTTACTTATTCACCGGGTACCATTCTTTTCTTTTTCTTTTTTTTTTTGCATTCAATCTTTGCAATCAGTCTTATTTCTTGGTTGATCAGCCACTGTGTTCGGAAGTCTTTGATTTTAGCCTCCTTGTCTTTTAGCTCACTCAAATGTTTTATCTTTTCCATTGTTAACTGACATTCCAATGATTCCATCAATTTTTTTTTTTTTTTTTTTTTTTTTTAAGAAAAGGGTGATGACGTTCAGATATCATCATTGAACTGACCGGCCCCAGTTAATTCAGATGATTTTGTTCTGGTCATCTGATTGCATCTGGATTTGAACTTGGGTCTGTATTCCAATAGTTCGTGGGTGTACCATCTGAGCTAGCCCCGTCGCTGTTCCATCAAAATTTTAGATCGTAAGAAGTCTGTTATTTTCCCATACACCTCGGGCCCTACCAACATCACATTCTCCCATTCGTGAGTGCAACTTATCGTCCAGATATCCTACACAGTACGGCCGTCCTAGCCAGGTGAAACCAGTTGCCCAAGAGCACCCACCCCTCTGTACTCTGGACAGTGAGGTAATGAAAAGGCTTTCCAGTCCCATTTCCAACTGGGCCCCCCTGTCAGCCATCTCCAAACTCTGTCCTACCATTTCCATAAGAGTATTGGCCGGGGACACGAGAGAAATAGAGGGGTGTTCGATTGTTTCCCTATTTTTTCTGTGTGGGAAACTAGTTTCACTGTTTCACAGCATTTATGCCAGGGTACTAAGATAACTTTCTGTCTTAGGTGTGAGTGGTCAATGAGCCAGACTCTTGTGGGGAGACACCTGTGTGTGATCTGCCATTGGAGGGCTGTACGCTTTCGCTGGTGTACTCTTGTAGTCTGAGAAAAAACGAATGCCCTGCACTGCCTGCAGGTTCTTCTTATCTACATGCAGGTGCTTGATCCACCACTCTTTTACCTGGTCCATCAAACTTTTTTTTGTTTCTTTTTTAACCATTCCTTGACTTATGCATAGCATCCTTGTGCAGGGGCCATGCTAATCTTCTCTGTATCGTTCCAATTTAATGGATGTCCCGATGGACTGCCAAAAATTCTTCTTAAAGACTTAAACAGCATTTACAGGAAGTTTTGATTGACGATTGCGGTAATCCCAAGGTAGATACTTCACCATTTTCCTACCCTTCCTGGTCCATTTTGCTGCACATCTTGGTGCTCTGCATCCACTTACTGCACTTGCTGCTGCTGCTGCTGCTGCTGCTGCTGCTGCTGCTGATGATGATGATGATGATGATGATGATGATGATGATGATGATGATCTTTGTCTTGGACCTCATTGCATCGACGTTTGACCCCCCTTTGTGCCAGCACAGCAACGCGGTGAGCCTCCTCCTCTCTCATGCATCGCTTGACCACCTCACTGTCACGATCTGCCATGCTCTTGACTCTTGCTGCTTCCACCGTGTTAGTCCCTTTTGTCACCTTCCTCACCTCGTCCTAAGTGCATGTTGAGCTTGATGTCGGTGTCAATCGGCACAAAGTTCATGCCCATGGCCTCTGTGGTGAGATCATCCACACGCTGCTGCCAAGTATTCCTGCCAACATACGCCGTGTGATGGCGTGCAAGTGCTGCTCCCAACCCCACATCTGACTCATAAGACTAGTCAAGTAGACAGTCATCTGACAATTCCCCCTGGTCATCATCTCCCTCACTGTCCTACCTCTTCCCCTCCTCATTGGTCTCTTTCTCCATCCACACAAGGTGTTCCAAATCACTCCCATCAGGAGACTCCACCTGTAGCATATCAGAAAGTGAAATGCACTGAAAGCCTAGGATCTAGCAATGACGAAAGTGGCAACAACCAGCAGCATAGGTGCAACATTCACAAGGTGTCAATGTG